CCCCCGTGTGTTCCCATATGTCCCCCCGCGTGTCCCCCGTGTCGCCCGCGGTGCCCGTGAGCAGCGCGGTGGGAGCGCTGCTCTCCCCTCATCCCATCCCGCAGGTGCGGCCCGAGCGCTGCCCCCTCCCATTGCCCAAACAATCCCAAGGGAGGGAGCAGGATCCAGAGGGGCGCAGCCTCAGGGGGTCACCGCACGCCCCGGCAGCTTTGGGGGTCCCGTGTGCGGGGGGTACCCTGCTCAGCCACGACCCCCGACGGGAGCTCCGTGGCGAGCTCCCTTCCCCTCCCTGCCTCGCCAACAGCTCCACAGCCCCAGCTCCAGCGCTGCCCCCCGTGTTCCCCCCGAACCCCCCCGCTCCGGGGGCTTCTGCCCCGCCGGGCGGGCTCCCCACGCACCGGCTCGCTCCGTCCCGCCGCTGCTGCGCGGAGCTCCGCAGTTGCCGCCGGCTTTTCTCATGCAGATTCCCTCTTTCACACCTCCCAAACAAAAGCAAACGGGGGCATCGCCTCGCCGTGTCAACACACACGCTCATTAGCGGGGAGGCGGCGGGGGGAGCGGGTGGGAACGGCTCGAGCAGCCCCTCCGGGGGGGCGGTCGCATCGACGGGAGCTCCTAGCGGGCCGGGGATCAGCCGAGGAAATTTGGAGCGAGTTCTTTGCCGCGTCCCCCTCAAGTCACTAAGTTTCCGAAGGTGCGGGTGTGCCCGTCTCCGGCTCGTTTCTATCAGCACGGGCTGCTCCCGGCCGGGCTCTGCCCACCCGCGGGAGCGGCAGCCACGGGCGCAGAGCGCACCCCGAGCCAGGGCCGGCTGAGCCCCGGGGAGCCGTCGGGGCGGTGGGAATGGGGGTCCCGGGATCGTGCTGGAGCCAGGAAGGGCAGGGGGTGCAATTAAAGCTTCGCCAATTACCGCAACCCGCAGGATAAAAAAAAAAAAGGACTGGTTAAAATGGCTGTGGAGTGGCTGCGGGAAGGTCGAGGCGAGCAGGGAAAGCGGCGCCTCGCTCGGCGCTGGCTGCCCCCAGACCCGGCAGCGCTGCCCCGGCCGGGGTCCCGCGGGTCTCGGGGCGCTCCGCCGGCTCTCCGAGCTCCGCGGCAGCCGGTGGCACCCGCTTCTCTGCCCCGCTAGAGATTTTTGTGTCTTCACTTTGGTTTGCAATTTATTTTCCTTTTTTTTGTTGTTGTTTTGTTTTCTTTTTCGGTTTTTGTTTGTTTGTTTGTTTGCTTGTTTGGGATTTTTGTGTGGTTTTATTTCGCTTTTTTCTCGTTAAACGGCCTCGGTCCCGCGGCCGCTCCGCCTCTCCCGGGGCTTCTCCCTGCCGCCGGCATCGCGGCTCGTTTTGTGCCTTTTCTTCCACCGAAACCCCGTGCCGGAGCTCGGAGGGAAGGAAAGAAAAATTCGTTAAAATGAAGTGAAAAGGGTAAAAACCCGAATAAAAAACCCCCCGGTTGTTGGTTTATATTTGGGCTGCGCTGCGGCCGGAGGGCTTGGTTTGTTTGTTTTCTTTTTCACACCCCCCGGCGGTTCCAGCAGCACCCGTGGGGAGCGAAGAGCTGGGGCATCCGCTGTCCCCGGCACCTTCCCCGGGCCCCTTTCGCGGGTGGGGAGGAGGGGAAGGAGCCGCGGGTGGGGGCCGGGCTGGCGGCGTGGGGGCTGCGTGGGGCTTTGTGCGGGCCGGGGGGGCCGCATTGTCCGCCCGCGCTCTGCACGCTCGCACTCACACTCACACTCACCTCGTGTCCCCCCCCGCCCCAAAAATACGGAAATTTCCATGTCCCAGCTGCCTTCCCCTTTTAACCTTGGTATTAATTTAGGACGGATCTTTTTAAACAGCCCTATAATGCATTCAGACGCTGCTGGAGGTTTATCTTTTTTTTTTCCCNTTTTTTTTTTTTTTTTTTTTTTTTTTTTTTTTTTTTTTTTTTTTTTTTTTTGTACCGTGGGTTATATTTACACCCAAAACAAAATAATTACACTTTTGTTGGCGAGAGAAAGCTGGTGATTAGACTGTGGCTCTTTGCAGCAAACCCTTTCTCAGTGGTACACCAGGACAATTTTTCACGGCTGGGTGAAATCAGACGCGGGAGGTAATGAATCCTGTGAGCTATTTAAATTTACAATTTGTAACGCAGTCACTCAGAAACGCCTATGGCCCGGCGAGGAGATGCTTGCTGGGTTTGTTTAATGTTAAAACCTGCCCCGTCCCCCCTCTTACCAGGGGAAAGGAGGGGAGCGCGGGGGGAGCAGCCTCGCCCGCCCGGAGGAGCGCGGAGCGCCGCGGAGCCGCCGCCTCCCACCGCGCCCGGCTCGGCATCCTCGGGCCGGCCGGAGCCGCGGAGCCCGGCCCCGCTCCGCGCTCCTTCCCCGGCGCGATCACCGCCTACAACCCCAAAAATAGTTGGTAATATCTACAGAGTCGGCGGCGGAGCATCCGAACAGATAGATAATTAATTACAAAACGCAGGGGGAATATGCAAACCGCGTATTACAAATTCTACAGGGCTTAACTGATTGGAAACAGATTATTATCTTGTTTGTCTTTTGTCTGTTTCACTTATCCCTCTGCCGTCTGTTGTGTTGTAAGTTGATACACTTTATTCTTGAAAGGGGATTTTTTTTTTTTCCTTTAATAATATAGTAAATTCCATCAACATCTTGTATAAGCGACGCTGCTTCTCCACGCATTACCCTGTTAAAACACAAAAGGTTTATTAGTTACATACAGGCGGTCTTGTGGGCCCTGAATTACCATCTGTTACCGTGGGGGAATGTGGCTGGGGGGAGTTTCTTAGGGCTCGGGGTGGTTTTTTTCCCCTCCTCCCTTTCCCCTTGGATTTATTTATTCAAACGAAAAAGGGAACGGAGGGCGGCCGCGGGGAGCAGGGGACGGGCTGGGGGTCCCCGGGTGGGGGTCGCGGCTCGGTGGAGGGGAGCAGAGGGTGGCGGGGAGGGGACCCACGGGGGTGTGCGGGGCCGCGGGAGAGCGGCGCGGGTGCCGCTCCCGCAGCCAGCACGGGCGGTGCGTATAGCCCGGGTTATCCATAGGTTTATCCATAGGGCGCGGGCCCGCGGTGCCTCAGCCGGTGCCGTGCGAGCTCAGCCCTGCCCGGGCACACGCGTGTGTGTGCCCGCGGCCCCGCAGCCCCTCGGCATCCCGGCTTTTCTCCGCCGTGCCCGACGCTCCCGGTGCTCTGACCCCGCTCCCGTGCTGGATCCTGCCCCGAAATCCCCGGAGGCTGCGCTGGGAGCGGGCCCCGCACATCCCCGCACATCCCCGCACATCCCCGCACATCCCCGCACACCCCGCACATCCCCGCACCGCTCCGCGCCTCCCAAATTCCTCAGGAGCGCCCAGGGAATCCCGCAAACTTGGGCAGAGCCCGCTCGGCCGCGGGTCCGGTCCCTCCTCCTTCACCTTCCCGTGCCTTCGCCTCTCTTGCCCGTTTCTCCCCTTTTTAATGCGCTGCAGTTTTCATTTCCTTTCTTCTCTCTTCCCTGGCCTTTTTTCCTTCTGTCTTTGTTTTCTTTTCTTCCTCCTCCTCTTCCTTGTTCCCTCGCTCTGGAGCTTTTCCTTCGCCCTTCCCTTTTGGTTTCCATTCTTTTCTATTCTAGCCGTTCTTTCTGTCTTTTTATTTCTTTCCTCCGTTTATTTTTCCTTTCCCCTTCTTTTTCCTTCATTTTTTTTTTCTGTCTTTTTATTTCTTTCCTCCGTTTATTTTTCCTTTCCCCTTCTTTTTCCTTCATTTTTTTTTCCCATCTTCTTCCTTGCCTTCATTATTTCTGTGTATTTTTTTTCTTTCGTTCCTTTATTCCTTCTTTATTTGCTTCTTTGCCTTTCTCCTTTTTTGTCCCTTCATTTTTCTGTGGTTTTCCTCTGTCTCTTCTTAGTTCCTTCCTTTTTCGTTTTCATTAATTTATTTTTCCTCATTCTCTCTCTCTCTTCCTTTCCCTTTCTCTCTCTTTTTTTTTTTTCCTGTATACATTTTCTCCTTTTCCTCCTGTGCTTTTTCTTTTATTTCCCTTTTCCTTCTGCTTTATTTTTCCTCCCCGAATCTCTTCTCTCTGTGTATTTTCTTATTTCGATTCTCCCTCTCTCCGCACACATCCCTACACACAAAACCTGCTCCACATCCCGCCGATGCCCTCGTGCCGTGAAGGATTTGTTGGAATTTTGATGTGGGGCTTTTCTGGGTTTTTTTGTTGTTGTCGTTTGGGGGTTTTGGGGGGGGTTTTTGCCACTACCAGGAGCATTTCCCAGCACCAGGAGGCTCCACAACCACGGGTAATTTCGGGCCGGAGCTAGGGAAAATAATTTTTTTTTTAAAGTATAATTTTTAATATAAAAATACAAGGATTTTGGCTAGAGGAAACGGCGGGGAATGTGAAGAAAGGTTCGGCCTTCACCTGCCCCGCCGCCTTCCTCCTCCTCCGCGCTCGGCCGGACCCCAGGGCTGCCTTGTCCCCTCCCGAAACCCCCGGGGAACGGAGGCAGCCCTGCCGGCCCCAGGCTGGATCTTCCTCCCCAAACCCCCGACCCCAGCCCGGAGCCGGGGTCCCTCCCGCGGGGTCTCAGCTCCGCCGCACCTGGAATTAAAGAGAAATCTCAGTGTGGGAGGGGGGGAGCGGCCGCCGCCCCCCGGGACCCCCGGCCCCGCTCCCCGGCGGGGAAGGGCCGAGGGGGCGGCGGGCCCGGGGGACAAAGCCCGGGGTGTTCGGGGGGGCCGCATACCTCCGGGGGAACTTTTCATCCCGCTCCGCTGCGGGAAGGAGCCCCCGGCCTCCTCCCCATCCCCACCAACCCCTCCCCCCTCCCAAATAAATCCCCCCCTCTTCTTTTTCCCACTTGTTGCTCTTGCGGACAAAAGCCTCTCTTCTCCTTGCCCAAAACAAACGTAAACCGCCCGAAACCAGGTGAGGCTCTCGCCTTGAGCAACTCGGGACCCCCCAACTCCTCCCCGAGCATCCCTTGAAAAGAAACGAATGCAAATTAAAATGAAAACGAAAAGAAAAACCGGCGGGCCAGCGCTTTTTCGGCCTCGCCCCCCCGGCCCCCCAGCCAGGTGCGTACTCACTTCGCGGCCCAGGTACAAGGCACCCTCAACAATAGAGGCGCGTTGTTTTTTTCCCTCTGTGCCAAGCACAAGGCTGGAGCCAATTTAGATATGCTATAAATTAAGAGGTTGCCACGGTGACCGCCCTGCCATTGGCCGCGGCGCGGCTGACGCGGCGCCCGGCGTCACCAAATCTGAATAAGGATGCGCGAATTACTAAGGCGGGGGACAAAGCTGGCGATGGGGACAGCATGAGAGTGGCGGCGCGGCGGCGGCGGAGCACAGCGAGGCACCGGGGCCGCCGGCTGCAGGGGGGGGTTCATGCACCCCTCCCGCCGCGCCCGCTGCCGCAGAGCCCGCCAGCAGCGCGGCCGCCGCTCCGCCGGCTCCCGGGCCGCTCCGCCAGCACCGGAGAGCCAGCCGGGGGGGTGTTTAGTATTATTGTGGTTATTATTTCTCGGGGGTGGTTTGGATTATTCTTGGGGGGGGCATCGTTTTTTCCCTGCCGTCGTCGAGGCTCCGGAGAGAAGAGGGGGAAGAACTTGACAGCCGCCCCGCTGCCGTGTCCTGAATTTTTTGTTATTCCTTCTTCTGTATTTTGTTAATTTTTAGTTGATTTCGTTCGATTTTGTTTTCTTTCGGGGGTTTTATTTTTATTTTATTTTTTATTCCC